TTATAAGGCAATATATTTGGCTTGTGGAACTTGAATTTTGAGAAGTTTATGCCAGCTCATTGTAAGACACTGCTGAAAACATACTCTGCATTTCCCTGAAGGAAATCCAAAGCATTTGCACATGTATTATGAGGCGGAGCTTCAAACAAGGACTTTGAATGCTATCTTATTGTGGGCTTTGGTGTCTTTCCTGCAAGATAATAATTTTTGCAATGATCATTAGAGGACTCAGAACTCAGTAGATGTATCTCCTTTCCCTCCTAGCCTGGGAACTTGTAAAGCAGCTTACTCCATCGCTGTCACGGGCACTGAACCCCACTGAATAGGTAGCACTTTGCAAGCAAATTACTGCCCAGGGAAGCAATACATAATCCAAGGTGTGGATCACAGGCTGGTAACTTAGCTCTGTTCCCAGGCTTCAGCAGTGAGGCACTTTAGCCCCCACTTACCACTCACCTACCACAGAATTAAGCATCCAGAAGAGATAACGCACTATAAAAACATCCAAAGTCTCCCTATTCTGAACAGTGCGTTTCTGCCTCCTCCACAAAACCACAAGAGCGTGTCACCAGCATTTGATGTCAGGGACACTGATGTTTATATGACCTTAGCTATGATCATAGAATTGTCTAGGTTGGAAGGGACCTTTAAGATCATCTAGTCAATCATAGACCTTATGAGGTCAGTGTGGCAATTAATTAAAGTAGCTCACTGGTGACACTGCAGAATTGACACCTGCAAAACCAGGCAACCCTCAATGAAGGACACCACACCTTGTGGCAAAGCTCAGTTGGTTACAGCACCCAGCTGATGGAGAAGGCACTACCACATTTCATTCTATATGCACACCCAGAAAGGTCCATCAGATAACCTTTGGCTCTGCCTGGAAGACCTACAGCTTTGAGGGGATTTACACTGCCTGTGAAAATGGCAGAAATGCAAACCAGACTTTTACAAGTGTATAAACAGTAATTATACAGCACTCTGCCCTGCCTGCAGTAGATTTACTAATATTATTAATACTGCCATGAGTCAGATCAATTCTCAGAAGGCATAGTGTAACACTTGAGACTGTTCTTGAGGAAAATAAATTGCTTCTCTGGTAACAAAGAGATCCACTAATTTTGCTGCCTCTTCCATCTCCATCAGCCAAAGACCATAAACAAAGCACATGGATTCTTCACTATTGGTGTAATCCAACTGCTTTAAAGCATCTAAGAGAAAGAAATTTGGAAAGGACTAAAAAGCATAGAATCATAGAATGGATTAGGTTGGAAGGTACCTTAAATATCATCCAGTTCCAATTCCCCTGCCCTGGGCAGGGTCACCTCCCACCAGACCAGGTTGCTCAAAGCCCCATCCAGCCTGTTCTTGAACCCCTCCAGGGATGGGGTAACCTGTGCCTGTGTCTCACCACCCTCACAGAAAAGAATTTCTTCCTAATATCCAATCTGAATCTACCCCCTTTCAATTTAAAACCGTTACCCCTCGTCCTATCACTCCACTCCTTGATCAAGAGTCCCTCCCCATCTCTCCTGTAACCCCTTCAGGAACTGGAAGGGGCTCTAAGGTCTGCCCGGAGCCTTCTCTTCTCCAGGCTGAACAACCCCAGCTCTCTCAGCCTGTCCTCACAGCAAGGTGCTCCAGCCCTCTGATCATCTTCATGGCCCTCCATGGGACCTGTCCCAACAGGTCCATGTCCTTCCTGTGCTGAGGACTCCAGAGCTGGACACTGTGCTCCAGGTGGGGTCTCACCAGAGCAGAGTAGAAGGGCAGAATAACCTCCCTTGACCTGCTGGCCATGCTTCTTTTGATGCAGCTGAGGATGTGGCTGGCTTTCTGGGCTGCCAGCATGAGCTGCAGGCTCATGTTGAGCTTCTCATCCACCAACACCTCCAAGTCCTTCTCCTCAGGGTTGCTCTCAATCCATTCTCCCCTCAACCTGTATTTGTGCTTGGGATTGCTCCAACCCATGCGCATAACTGTGCGCTCAGCCTGGTTGAACTTCATGAGGTTTGTATGGGCCCACTCAAGCCTGTCTAGGTCCCTCTGGTTGACATCCCTTCCTTCCAGCATGTCGACCGTGCCACACAGCTTGATGTCATCAGCAAACTTGCTGAGGATGCACCCAAGCCCACTCTCCATGTCACCAAAGATGTTAAAGAGCACTGCTCCCAGTACTGAGCCCTGAGGAACACCACTCTTCACGGGTCTCCACAAGGTAAGTAATCAAGCAAGACTAAACAAAAATGTTATTCTTACCGGTTACATTAAATTCTTTACTTTAGGGGTCAGCTGAGTAGGCATCTTGCCCTGTCAAGGAGAACTACTTTTTCAGTCTATTGCTTCAGAACAACTCATACTCCAAGGCTCTTTGTTCTAGATTCATCAATATTCCTTTTCATGTTCATTAAAAAATTAAAAAGCAAATAAAAAATTGACAATGCTGGATTAAAAATAGTCCTTTAGCCTATGCAGTAGCTACAATTAAAAAAAAATTCAGCAAACAGCATTCAGCATGCTGTACCCAGTGGGTTAGCCTATGCAGTAGCTACAATTAAAAAAATTTCAGCAAACAGCAAACAGCATTCAGCATTCATCAGATTCAACACCTACAGTGTAGTAAAGATTAATCTTTTAAAAAAACAACTGGTACAAGAAACTTCAGATGAATCGTTCTGAGGAGCGTATTGGTCACTATCAGCTTTTATATGCCCTGAGAACATAGTTATAGCTTTACAGCCTTCCACAACCAGATGGGTCTTGTCTACGTGGTGCAAGGCAACAGTTTTACATCATGCAGAAATCTTCAACCAACCTCTGAAAGAGGTCCTCTGCCCAGGCCGCTTGCCAGGTCAGAGCATCACCCAAGTCCACTGCCTAGACAGCTCAGGCTTCTCTGCATTGTATTTCATTGTTGTTTCCAGTACAAATGTAATACATATATTTACCAGCTGAACCTTTTTAGCTACCATCCTGATCTTCTCAATGAATTATAACTTAGAAGTCAAGTAAACATTTGAGGTACCAAGGTAAAACTTTGAGTTCAAACATCCTTCTTCCACTTATGTTTATCAAAACAGTTGCAGTGCTCCAAACAGATAAACAGCAAATAGCTGGTAGTTTATCAACAGAACAGCTTTCTCATTCCATAGATCAGATTTCTCAAGGTGCAGTTTGATGCAAAAAAGCCAAAAATAAAACAAAAAAAGCTGACACCCGAACGGATTGTAGCTTATGAAGCTGAATGAATACATTTTGCACCTCAGCACCTAATCACCAGTTAGATTTTTCCTAAAGTAGACACCACTTTGTCTTCCAGTGCAGCATATGAGCCTGACCAAGGGCAGGAACAGAGAGTGAGCTGGATTCCTTCCATCTGTGAGAGTTCTATCAGGAAAATTATATAACTTGCATCATACCTTATGATAACCAGACAAAACAAGGTAACGACCGTCGTAATTTCTGCCTCACCTGCCTCTGTACTGGGAACACTATCAGATAACATGGGGTCATATTCTGTCATCCTCTGCAGTTGGGGTATCCCAGTAACCCTGAAGAGGTCACATACTCAGCTGGGGAATATGTTGTGGTTCCCCCATTACCTTAAAATGACACTAAGCCCAAGCCAAATAAAATATAGCATTTAAAGTAAATGGGTTTATTCACAAAGTCCAAAACAGGTATCAGTTACAAAGGGTTATCAAATA